CGACACGAGAGCTACAGGACATTTATTCAACGAAGGTGACAAGGTGCAGTTATAAAAACTGATTTGCTGGAAAGGACTCTCTCCTAAACTACAGTCACCTTAGAATAGTCCTTACACACAGTCCTAAACAAGCTGAACGAAGTTGTAGTTCGGATTCGTAAGCCATCAAATTCTAAGCCTCAAGTCATTCATTACAACAGACTAACCCCTTGTAAGGATTATGTTAATTTTATTAACAGTTAAATTTTAAGTTCCTTTCCTGTCAAATTCTTAACTTCAACTTACTACTTCCGGCCAGAACAGTTTTGGAATTTGCTGAATATTTAATGAGAAGGAGAGGTATTTAAATCACGAAGTTACTTACTGAGACAGAGAGAGAATCGGAGTTTCTGAACTACGCGCGTCTGCCTTTTTGGCCGCTCTCTCTCTCAAAGCTGTTTATACGCTTGGCCGTACTCAGGCCCTCGATAAGCTTCGTAGTAAAATAAGTTAGGGGCCAACTCTCATTGAACCTTGATAGCTTTGGCTATACTTATTTAGTTAATCTTAGTTTTAGTTTAATTCTTAGTCTTTTAAGTTCAAGTCCAAAGTGTGGGCTTTACTTGTACACTCCCAGGCAGACTTTTGTTAAATCTTATCGAAATAATAAAGGGTTAGTTACCCTTCTCTCTTGTTGTTTCCTGTCATCGAACTCTAGCGATTATTCGCTTATCAGTTCTTAGGTTCCTCACTTCCAACATTAACTTAGAATTCCAAAGTGACACCCTTACTATAGCCCTACTGCGTGGTCCCCACAGTGTATATAATGTAAATAGTTTGCTAAAGACCAAGATCCTAGTTGCTTATGAAATCATTAATTTACACATTTGTTTACTGGTTTAGCATTTGATTTGGTTTATGTCATTTAATGAATTACTGTTTCAGCATTGCATTAATTTTCCATACTTATAGGTATGGGTTCCTGTCCAGGAACTATATAACCATGGACGTGCAGTTCTTTGGAAGGGGACAATGTTACAAATTTCGTACATAAAATACATGATGTTAGTGGAATTATATGTGAAATTTGTTACATTATTCTGTATAATATAACATAAAAACATACAGTGCCAACCAATGCTTTGCCGGAAAAATAAGAATACAGAGGAAGTCTATTTAACATTGAGTAAATGGCTATCAGGCTAATTTGGCAAGATAAGCTGGCAGCGGTTTTGGCAACTAATTTATGTCACCAAACTTGGGCACATTTTGGTCCAGTCCCTGTATCACTGTAATAGGTATTGTTAATGAATAATTGTAATTGATTTCATACTGAAACCATACCTGCCCCTCGTATGCCTTCCAGTAATTTTGAGAAGCTATAGACATTTCTCGGCAGCTGGGGGAAAAACAATACATGACCGTAGATAGCATCTGCCCTCAGTTGTTGTTAGCTGCTATTTCAGCATGAGTTCGGAGTGATGAGATATCTTCACTCTTTAGATGCACCTTGCATCGCACTGTGTTTAATGTTCTTAGCAGCTTGAAGTGTAACTTTTGATTGCACTATGGGATACTGTGAACACCTATATAAGTATTTCTGTGGAAAACTCAAGAACTCTGAAATGTTCCTTTTGATAAAATACATTTTATCAACCTATCATGGAACCTGTGTGCATTCAATCTATTATGAACCTCTACACATGTAACAACAAAATCAAAGCATAGACTCTAACCTGCAGCAGAACTTGTCAGTAGTTAACGCATGAACGACATTTTTACAACTTTGAAAATGTGTGCGTAACACATGTTGCAATTAACCATTCATTAATTTTTAATGAATCATTAATTGTAATCAATTTTGTTACATTTAAAATCCACATACATAAACTGAATAATTAAAAATATGCCTTGTAAATTATATGCACATTTAATTAGAAATTTTCATTTAACTCCTCAAACACGTACATCACTAAATCTATTATTATATGAAAAAAGCAAGTATTTTAAATCTCTACTCATAGGAAAAAATCAGAATCCGTAAATCATATATCTTTATTCTATATTTGATTTCTGCAGGGAAATAAAATTTAAGTAACCAAGAGTATAAGTATTAAAAAATACTTATAATTTATGAATGCAAAGATTTATATGTAGCATGCTTAGCAAGCTTAAGTTCTGATTTTCAGAATGTTTTTTTATAACACAGTTCTTCATTTGCCTGCATACTTATTTTTTCAATCAAAACTACTTCGAGATTTTGAAGACCTAAATTTGGTCGAAATTCCATCTGATTTTTTTTAACAATAGAAAAAATTCTTTCGCAAGCTTCAGTTGAATGAGGTATTATTAAGACAGTAAGCATTACGGTAGGCAATACTTTGTATTTAATACACCCATTCATATTTTTTAATTTGGCACTTTCTCCCCATGCTTCAATACACAAATCTACAATTTCTTTCAAATCATCTACTTGATACATGGAAAATTCAATTTCACTTGATTAAGATATTTTTCATCAATAATGGATGGAAAAGTATTCATCAAGTAAAGAGCAGATGAAAATGAAACTTCAGTCAAGTTGATGTCAACAACTTCAGCATGTTTTAGAAATGGATCACTTAGTGGAAATTTATCTATTATATATAAACATGCAGTTAAAAAAAAAAGCTCACACAGAATTGAAAAATTATTTTACTTCACTTTCATTCAACTTGGCATTTTTAAAATATAGTCTTGTTTCCGCACCAATCACTAAATTTTCATTTGCTTTTTGTTTAACTGTACTTCTGGACTGGAAGAGATGTTAGAGTAAAATCTTCATTTTCTTTAGATATTACTGATGGTTTTACAAATCTAACAAATAAATTCATTTAAATGTTCAACAAGTTCTCTTCTCAATTTATGCATATAAGGAGCTTGTTGCAAATTCATATTTACTGTTATAAACAACAGCAAAGTATTTTTTCAGAAATAAGTATAATTTGGTGGTAGGTGATTGTAACATTTTTTTTTAATGTTCTGCAATCTCTTTCCTTCATTCTCACTGTTATCTGGTTGATCTCAAAAAAAAAAAAAAAAAAAAACATTTATCACAGCATCTCACTGTTCCAAAATCCTTGTTATAGTTTCTAAAAGAGACAACTATCCCATACTGCAATATTTCAAAATTTTATGAGATTTTACATTCCATCCCAAAATTTGTTGAGCAACTTTGAAGCTATGCTTCCGTTTTCAACTTTTCTCCCAATAAATATATATATCTATTAACAACATTTCGATTTCAGAGCCAATTAATTTTTCAGTAGCCTTTTTTGCAGCTATATGCAAGAGGTGGCATGGACAACCTCGGATGATTATACTTGGTTGATGCATTTTGATAAATGATGCTGCACCTTTAAACTTTCCAATCATATTATTAGCATTATCTGAAGAAAATGATAAGCAATTTTTCCATTCTAAACCTTTGCTTTTAAAGTTTTCATTTATAAAATTAAAAATATTTTCTCTCGTATTATTTGTGCACTCTAAAATAGAAATCAATGACGTAATTATCACTAACTTTTCTTTACTGTAGTATGTTATAATCAATGGATACAGTTTGTTATCAGTACTTAGAGAAAATGATGTAGTGCACACTGATTTTATAATGTCGGCAACAGTACTTTCTGCAAGCGTTTTCACAATAGTGGCAGTTTTGGTATGACCACAGCTAAATTTTTTGCTATGGCAGAATCCGGAAACATTGCTTTAAAAAGCTCTTTGGAATGATCTGAAACAGAAAGCAGTAGATTGTGTTCAATTAAAAATCGAACAAAATAGCATTTGGCTTCTATAGGACTATTTCGTCATCTTTTATTAAGAAATTCATTATTTCTTTAACTTTTACAGTGCCAAGTTCTATATGCTTTCGAGAAAAAACATGCCATTTACAGTCATCTTTTCCGCCATGTGCAACTGAGAAGTCTTTGCTGCATAACTCTGCAGTGTGCGTGATTCACAGAAATTTCGGCTGCTTTAATGCATGGAAATTTTGAAGAATATGAATCTTTAAATTTCTGTTTTGATAATTTTGGCTTTTTTGTTCGAGGTAGCATTATTAAAAAAAAACTTCCACCTGAATCCCAGTTCACAAAACACACACTAAGCTCTTGCCTTAATCCAAACAATGGAGCCGAAGGCAAGCAGCAGCAAACCAGGGAAACAGACACAGTAGACAGATGTTGCGGGGGGACTATTGACAAGTCATTAACGGCTGGAGTTACTGATCTACGATTGGCTATTCTTCAAAACCAGCAACACACTCAACACGTGATATATGATGACACAAGTATTCAGCCAATCATCGGATGAATTAGTTGGTTCCGTTTTGCGTACTAGTTCTCCTACTCTGTTTCTGTAAAATCCGTAGTTTTTCCATATTTTTCGTAGCTCGTAGTTTTTCATGAATTTCCGTAGAAACTACAGAGAATCCGTAGTAGTTGGAGTCTATGTCAAAGTAGGATCAGGATGAATAAACAGAACACAGAATTTTGAACAAATATTAAAGAATAACTTTCACAACATCCTAAACATTACAGGAAAACAACACTTGACTACACATCAAACTTTCCATTATTGTACTTTTTATCATTTGCCTACTGTTTTCTAGACTCAGACTGCTTTTGAAAGCAGTCTGATTCAGTTTATTAGAATTTGAGAGAGGCAGCCTTAATTTTGGTGGTGTTAGTATTTATCCATACATTTACCAAATATTTGTTTGGAAAAGCATTTTATGCTAAAACAAATTTCCTCCCCCTTTTTTTAATTTTGCTAGTAAAAGTAATTATTTTCAATAATTCAAAGCTTAACTCTTAAATTTTGGTTTTCACTTGGGCAAATGATTTCCTTTGTACCTCAAAAATAAATTTACTGTGAAATATGTAACATTTGATGGAATGTTCAGCTTTATCATTCAGTTAAAACTGCCTCTTTAAAACTTTTTTTTTTTCATTTAAGTCAACAAGGATTTCTTAGATTACCTGTAAATGGCTGCACAAGAATTTTCCATTTCCGTGCTCCCATCAGCTCTTCAGCAAGGCGCTCTAAACCTGCAAAATAATCATGAAACTCAAGTTATAAAATAATGTTTGTAATTATGTAATTCTAATTAAGCTTATACAATATAAATCAGACAGATACAATTTCAGCTTATTGAATACTTCACATAAAAAACAGCAATTTTTTGTTAGTCCTATCTGTAATCAGAATAAAAATACATTTACATCACTGTTACACATCTACTGCCTTTTTTAGAGGAGGGTACAGCTTTCTTCCAAAGAAGCTCAAACACATTCTCAGTGGCAATTGCAAAATATATATAACTGACTATGTTAAATTTTAAAAATTATTATTATACAGTTTATTGAAAATGTTGGGTTAAATTAGAAAGTAAAAAGTACAGTACAAAGTCTAAGATCCAAACTCGTAAGGACTTCAGCAATTCCAGATTTGGGATTTTTCCTGATTACATCTTCAGTTTAAATCTAGTAAGATGACATGTAGAAATTATAAAATTAAAAATATGAAATAATGAAGCATTTATGACTTATTAATTAAGGTAATCAAAATTTATGTAAAAAATTGCTCAATATTTATTTGTTTGCTTTATTAAACATTTCTTTCAATATAAGTTGCTTTCTTATTTGTGCTAATATTTTCTCTTTCATTCTATAGACCGGCATTTCTTGTTTTCACAAAGATTTTGTAAAAGTTCAACAAAGTCCCACTGTTCAGGTCCTGTAATTGCTGTGTCAAAAATTCCTATTAAACTGTCAATCAAAATTTTTCGTTCTCAACAACCTCTCTGGATAAAACTGACAGTGAGAAAGCTGGCTGAAGTTGGACATAACTTAGCAGTATTTTTAAAAGATCTCAAGCAATTCAGTGTTTACCCCATGAATACTCCAGAAATGTGCAACAGCTGATTTATATAAGTGGATAGACAAGGAATTTACATTGGAAAACATTGCTGAAAACTCATAAGGGAAGAAAGTCGACTTTGTCATGTACACTGCACACAAAAAAAGAAGGTCGGTGTCGACAGTTCTGTACCTCCCATTCTATTGGGCCGATTAACAAAAGCTTGACTTCGGATATATATTAGATTTATATATAGCATTATTCTAACATCGGTATTTTGACACAAAATTGGACTTTTTCTGAAATAATATACCAATTTTTTTCCATATTTCGATTCCATAAATCATGCCAGAGTGCCAAGTTTTGTATAAATCGCATGATTAGTTTTTAAATAATTAGCTCTTCAATGTTAATTGAATTTAGTATATATTTATTAATTTCTCTTTTTTTATTAAACTTCTTTGATTTTTCCTTTCACATTTCAAAATTCAGTTTCGTTCCAAATAAAATTCACCTAGTTTTTATGATTTTTTAAAATTTGTATTTTTTAAATAATTTTTATAAATTTTTTGAAAAATGTTTTTTAAATTATAATCCATAAAATTTTAACCATCATTTTAAAGCAGACGTATTTCTCAACATACCTACAAACAATTAAGAGTTTTTTATTCAATACATGAACTATATATTTATATACTGACGTGTTTTGAAATTTGGCTTATTTGTTGAAAGCGAAGCATCAAATGTAGTTTACACACTTTAAAATTATTTGAAAGTAGGAATGATGTGACTTTCTTCCACTTATGCACAATTTAAAAAAAGAAAGGAAAATAGGTTGCCACATATTAAGAAATTCGGCAAGTGACTTATTCTTGGCGCAAACTAAAAAAATATGCACCAAGATAAATTTTTGAATTTCTCCATAAATTTTACACTAAATTTAAAAAAATTTGCATAATCTGAGTTGTACAATTGAAATATAGAAAAAAAATTGCCATGTTATTTCAGAAAAAGTCTGCTTTTGTGTCAAAATACCTACATTAGAACAATGCTACATATAAATCTAATGTATATCCAAATCAAGCTTACAAGACATGAAAAATGCAATTTGAATTTTGTCAATCGGCCCAGTAGAACAGGAGATATAAAACTGAGTTTTTTTGCTTTTTTTGTGGTGTACATGCTGATGCGAATTTAGAAGACAGCATAGTAAGTGTGTTTAATACTATCAGCACAAAAGGCAGGGAAATATAGAACTGAGCGTAAAACTAAAGTTAAGAAAAAAGTAAATCGTACTTATTGGTTTAAATTTACAGAAAATATTATCCATGAAAGCCTCTAGAGGGAAATTATATGCGTGTAAGTTCCAGCTTAAATTTCATAGACAGAGAAATATATAGGTAACTTTACGCTTCGAGAAATGGTGACGAAGCATCAATAAATATTTAAAACAAGGAAAACATCAAGAAAAACCTTCAGAGAAAAATAAAAGAAAGAAAAAGAAACGAGAGAAGAAAATTCTTCAAAGAATTAAAAAAATACTTTTATATAAAAGAAAATTAAAATTACTTCTTGAAGTAAAATATAGGAAGGAAAGAAAAGGCCGAGTTCGTAAAAAAGAAAGAAATAATCGTATGAAAATAAGTACAACTTTTTTAAAACAAATAAAGTGAAAAATGTAAAACACGGAAAGGAAAGACTAAACTGAAGGGGGAAAAAAAAACTTTTGTAAAATAAAAAGAGAAAAAAAAATTTCAATTGTGAAAACGTATGACTTTTATAAAATCTATTATTTTTGCAAGTTAAACGTAGGAGAAAAGAATGTAAAACTTAAAAATGTGGAAAGAAAAGAAAATCTTACGTTTGTATATAAAAATATGGTGTGAAAATTAGTACATTTAATTTAACGGCAGAAAGCAAAGAAAATTACATAAATTATGTTTCTAAGATAAAGAAAAGAGAAATTTAAAATATCTTAACCTAAAAATAGAAAAAAAATAAATTTAAAGTTATGAATTCATTGTTTATCGAGGATGTACAAAGGTCCGAGCAAGTTGGAATAGAATTGCCTAAGTGCAATCCATCAGCCTCATGCTGGTTTCTGCTGCACAAAGTCAGATGAACAAAGAGGTCAAATAATAGGATTCAAGAGAAAAAAGCAGGGCTTTGTGTTATCATCCACGTTTCCCATGCCATAGATGGGGGCGGAGCTTAAGTATCAGCCGTGGGGTTATTTTTAAAACTCGTCTAAATACATGAATGTTTTTCATTAAATACAACTATATGAAGTCAAATAGTATAATCAATTAAAAATAAGGTTAATAACTTGGCCAGGATCCACGAGAACCAATCAGAAAGCGCTATGGGTAAGACTACTGCTCTCTAGTGGCCATTACTTTACTAAATAGAATGTTCTAGAAATTCTAACATGTTGCAATCATGTGGCGGATTTTCGTTAATAGATAAGCGCTGACATGAAACTTGATTACAACACAAACGGGATGAAATATGAGTCTGACGTAGCAATAGCAAGATAATCCGAGGTAACAATGCGTGATGACGTCACGAACAAGAAGCAGCGCATCCATGCTTGAGCCACGTGGTTGATGATACAGCAAGCCCACGTGCTCCTCTGTAAACCCCCACTTTCAGTGCCTCAGGAGGCTTCCTCTCCCGAGCACCTCATGGCCCCAAAGTAACCTTTTCTACCTATTTTGGCCACATATGTCATATATATTTAAAATTATATAATCTAAGGTTGATTTTGATTAAATTTAAATAGTTGTCATTATAGTTATCTTAGAATTAGTATAAGAATTATCTTAGCACACAGATGAAGAAATAATTATAAATAAAAACACATTAAAAAAACTTTATGTTAAAAGAGTAAAGCATCTTATCTATTATTGTAAAAACTGAGTAAGTATTATTAAAGTTTTTAATGTTTAGTGTAAAATGCATACAGCAGTAACATTGTCTCTTCCAAATTATAGCTATCTTTCACACACAGCTCGCTTTAAACGCTAATTTCTATGTTGTGAATTGCATGTCCACGCTCAGTGTCAGCATGACTACGCCATCACTCCTTACTTTCGCCTTCAGGGAAAAAAGCTCTATAAGCTACCCCTTCTCTTCTAAGTCCTGATCGGTTAACTGGTTAATTTAATTATGGCAAAGCACTCGAGGGCTATCTGCCTAAGGGGAGGGATTCCTTCATGGTGGACTCTGTAAGGGAAACTGGATTGTATACACATTACTCGTTTAGGATTCTAGTATGATATGTAATAAATCACACTAATGTAATCGTTTATGATATGTAATAAATCTTTATGAAAATATAAATTAATAATGTATTTTTAATCCCTAAAACTAATAAATTACTTACCTGAAAATTCTTTCAACATATATGGAATGTAACAAAATTGTAAATAAAGACAGTAGTAAATCACGAAAGAATATCATTAAATGGTATTTAAGATTAAAAAAGAAAAAAAGCAACCATGAATTATTGTAACTTATGTATTAACTGACTCCTCAATGCAATTTAAAATGACATCAAATACTGTAAATTTTGAAACTAGATGTCTCGGTGAAATTTTGTCGTATGGGAGTCAAACTTTTTGTGTTTTATTTTTTATAACAAATACAAAATTTTTCTAAATGTAAATAACAAAGAACAGGAGGAACATGTAAGAAGTTGGATGTTATTTTTTCATATAGCATTATTAATCTAATTAAAAATGCAAAAACATAATTCTTTGAAATATTTAAAAATTTCTGTAACTGGAAGTATAGGTCTATGACCAATGGTTGACAAAATAAAGGCCAGGTAAGAATTTTTGTATATTATAAACATTTCCTGACCCAACATGGAAATAAATGAAAGTACATAATATAGGAATTAATTTTGAGGTGAGGACTGAGCAACCATCATATATTCATTTACTCTCCATGTGTTTGCCTATTATAAATGATACAACAACATGTCCAACTGCTTTTGATCCACGTGTAAATATCAAAATGTAATAAGTGTATTTATGCATGTGCTAAGGAAAAGCAATCTATATATAAACTCACTTGCATCACATGCAATCCCTTTTGCCAAGGTGTTGGAAATGTCAAAAAGAGGAATCTATGTGTTTCTCCAAGATGAGATTTCAAACTGCTTTACATCAACGAGTATTCATAG